ATTTCTGGCCACTCCTTTCTGGCCTGCAAAGTTTCTTTTGAGAAATCAGCTGACAGCCTAATGGGAACTCCCTTGTAGGTAACTAACTGCCTTTCTCTTGCTGCTTTTAAGATTCTCTCTTTGTCTTGAACCTTTTGCATTTTGATGATGATGTGTCTTGGTGTGGGCCTCTTAGGGTTCATCTTATTTGGGACTCTCTGTGCTTCCTGGATTTGTATGTCTGTTTCAAATCCATTATTCAAAGGCCATTATTGTTTCAAACAGGTTTTCGATTTCTTTTTCTCGCTCTTCTCCTTCTGGCACCCCCAAGATGCAAATGTTAGCACGCTTGAAGTTGTCCCAGAGGCTCCTTACACTATCCTCATTTTATTGGATTCTTTTTTCTTTTTGCTGTTCTGATTGGGCGTTTTTTGCTTCCTTATATTCCAAATGGATGGTTTGCTTCTTGGATTTACGTACTCTACTATTGAATCTGTGTAATTATTCTTTATTTCAGTTAATGCCTCCTTCATTTCTGACTGTGTATCCATCATTTCTGACTGGTCCTTTTTTATGCTCTTGAGGCCCTCACTAAGTTTACTGAGGTTCTCACTAAGTTCATTGAGCATCCTTATAAGCAGTATTTTGAACTCAGCATCTGTTAGGTTGCTTATCTCTATTTCGCTTAGTTCTTTTCTTGGGGTTTTGTTCTGTTCTTTCATTTGGGACCTGTTTCTTTGTCTCCTCATTTTGGCTGCCTCCCTGTGTTTGTTTCTGTGTATTACTTAACGAGAGATACGGGGCTCGCTGAGACCAGATGCTGCTTGTTTGAAAGAATTTAGGAAAACCTGAAGCAGGATCCAAGACAGGCCAATCCTATGGTTAAGCAACTGGCAACAGCTTGGGTGGGCCTGAAAGTTGGGTGGGGCGGGGTCTCAGGGAGTCACCACAGTGGGGCTACCAGTGTGAACCAGTTTACTGGAGTCCCAGGTATGGTGGCTGTTTCATAGATGGTGGGACATCTTTCTTCCATCAGAAAGTAATCACTATCTGGGCGTTCCCTTTGTGATGTTAGTGATGTTGGCATTGCACCCTACCTTCAGAACCTTTTAGACATTATTTTCCTAATCATCCCTTCCTTTTGTGAAATTGTCTTTTCCCAAACTTAGAGATTATCTTTTCATTTTCTCAATGGTTTGTTTCAAAGAGCAGAAATATTTTAATTTTTATAAGGTTTAATCAGTTTTTTTTTCTGTTATAGTTGTTGGGTTTTGGAGGGACCTTTGTCAAATTTTTCCAACACTAAGGGGACAAAGGTTTTCTTTTCTGTCTTATTCTAGAAGATTTTATAGTTTTAGCTTTTATGTTTCAGTCTGTGATCCATTTTGAATTAATATTTTTGTATATGATCTAAGCTGATATCCAGTTGTTCCAGCACCATTTGTTGGGGAAAAATCCTTTCTCATGGACTTACCTTGATGCCATTGTGAAAATAAGTTGATCATATTACGTGTGGGTTTATTCCTAGATTCTATTGTTTCACATTTCTGTGTGTCTATCTTTTTACCAATTTATTTACCCAATTTATTTTATTGATTTAGCCCTATAATAAGACTGGAAATAAGGCAGTCTAAGTCCTCTAACTTTGTGGTTCTTTTACAAAATTGGGCTATGCTAGAGTGTTTGTTTTCCTACATGAATTTTAGAATCAGTTTTAGACTGTAATCATTGAGACAAGTGAGACTCATGGGGCCAGAACCACAATTGTCCAGGCTTTCTGTCTTGTATTGTATCCTCATCATTGTGTCCTAATAATTTGTTAAGGATTTTTGTGTCTATGTTCAATTTTATTTCTTTTAATGTCTTTGTCTAGTTTTTGCTCTAGGGTAATGCTGTTCTCGTAAAATGAGTTGGAAAATGTTCTTTCCTATTTTATTTTCTTGAAGAGTTTGTATAGAATTGATATAATTCTTCAAAATATTTGGAAGAAATTTCCAGTGAATTCACTGGGATCTGGAGTATTCTTTGTGGGAAGGTTAACCTAACAATGACATTTTATAGATATAGAGCTATTCATATAATCTATTCTTGAGGGAGCTTTTGTATTTTTTTAAGGGATTTGTCCATTTCATCTAAATTATGGAATTTATTGGTATAAGCTTTTTAATAATATTCCCTTATTAGCCTTTTAATATCTATAGGATCTATAGTGGTGTCCCCCTTTTCATTCTTGCTGTCTGTAACTTATGATGTTCTCTCTCTCTCTCTCTGGCTCTTTTTTTTTACAAAGATAATCTACTCAGAACTTTTAATTTTATTGGTCCTTTAAAAAAACCCTACTTTCTGTTTTCATTAATTTTTCTGTTTGTTTGTTTCATAGTTTTTTAATGTGATTGGCTTTTGCTCTGTTGGGGTGTAGCCTGTTCTTTGAAATTAAGAGATTCCCTGGTGATTCTAATGTGCAGCCAAGTTTAGGACCTAGGTTCTGTACCCTTACTGATTTTTTGTATGCTTATTTACAAATTACAGAGAGGGGAGTGATGAACTCTCCAACTACACATATGGGTTAGCTTTTTATTTCAGTTCTATCAGTTTTTGCTTCAGTGTTATTTTATAGCACTATTAGGATTTTGCATCTTCTTAATGAATTGACCCTTTTATCTTGTTTTAATATGGATTTCCATGATTGCTCATAAAGGCAAACATTAATAAAAATCTTTCTGGTCAGTCAGTTTTACTCGTCTTTCAGTTGCCTATTTATGTTATTTGAATATATATCTTTTTATCTCGAACTGTCAGTTTTCTTTATATTTTCAGAGCTTTAATGTCTTTGTCTAGTTTTTGCTCTAGGGTAAGTAATGCTGTTCTCGTAAAATGAGTTGGAAAATGTTCTTTCCTATTTTATTTTCCAGCCTGTGGTTTGTTTTTAACTTGATTAAAAATGTCTTCTCAGGCCCTGGCCGGTTTGGCTCAGCAGTCAGAGTGTTGCCCAATCACCAAAGGGTCTTGGGTTCCATTCCCAGTCAAGGGCATGTACCTGGGTTTGCAGGTTCGATCCCAGCTGGGGTTGTGCAGGGGGGCAACCAATCAATGTTTCTCTCTCTCTTTCTCTCCCCCTTCCTCCCTTCCTCCCTTCCACTGTATCTAAAAATCAATGGAAAAACAGCCTCAGGTGAGAATTAATAACAACAACAACAACAAAAAAGTCTTCTTGGGGGTTTAAAACTTTTAGCTCTTCTGTTTATAAAACAATCAAAATTTAAAATATTTTCCTTAGAATGGCACTGTTTTGCCTGGTTTATCAAATCCTTCCCTATGGCGATGTCATAAAGACATCTGTTTTCTAAAAGTTTAGTTTTGTTTTTCACATTTTACATTTACTTCACTTGGAATGTAGTCTTATTTGTGGTGTGACATCAGTATCTAATTTCATATTTTTATATGACTAGCCAATTTAACTAGAACCACCATAATTTTTCTTTTCCAAAGCCAATTAACAAAGTTATTGTACCATATACACTTCCAATAGTAATGAAAAGGCTTTCCCCACAACCTCACCATCATACGTTCCTTATCAGTCACCTTTACTATATACCAACTTACAGGCATAGTACTCTCTTAATTTCCCCTTTGTCTACTCTTGTGTCAATACCACATTTTGAAAAGTTGCTTTTAAAGTAATTACCACATTATCCAGTAATATATACCCCAAAGAATTGAAGGCAGGATCTCAAAGAGATATTTGCACACACTATGTGTATAGCAGCATTCATAATAGTTAAAAGGTGGAAGCAACCCAAGTGTGCACTGACAGATGAATGGATAAACAAAATACATGCATACAATGGAACATTATTCATAATGGCTTAAAAAGGAAGGAAATTCTCACACATGCTACAACATGTTATACTAAGTGAAATAAGTGAGTCACAAAACGACAAATACTGGATGATTCCACTTACATGAGGTACCGTAAATAGTCATATTTATAGAGACAGAAAGAATGGTGGTTGCCAGGTGCTGGGGGAGAGCAAAATGGGGAATTGTTGTTTAATGGATATCCAGTTTCTGTTTTGCAAAATGAAAAATAATTCATGTGATTGGTTGAAGAACAATGTGAATATATTTAGCACTTCAGAAATGTACACTTTCTTAATATACATTTTTATATAGTCCTTAAAAGGATTAAGGCCATACCTCAGCAATCTGTACCTGAAGTAAAAAAGCCAAGAAATAGGTAGTCATAAGGCTCACCCCTATAACTCAGGAGAATGTTACTACTGTGTACTCAACAAATATTGAAAATAAACAGGACCTTTTTTTTTTTTTTGTCAATGGCATCAAACCAGATTAAATTACACTCCAAAGCCTGGCACAAAACATTTCACACTGCGTGTATGACCTTGAGCAAAACATCTGTTTACTCTTATGCGTCGGTTTCTTTATGTGGGTGGTTGTGAGGATCAACATGGAATGCGGTGAGAGAAAGCGCTAAATACCAAAGTACTATTAAGGTATTTTCTCAACTCTAAAATACTATTAAATGGTCAGGTGCACTATGTATTTGGAGGTGTTGCGGAAAGGAACAATCTACTAGAGGTACACTTAGGGGCTTCCCGACTTGGGAATTTAAAAAATATGGAAAAGTCTGCTTTTAGAATTAAGGAACCACAGAACTGCATTGGCTTGTTTTATCTGTTATGTCCACAAATGCTCCTTTCTTATATTTGAATTTCTCTCTTGCCCGGCGTTTCTTTTTACCAACCTCCTTCCTGACAGCTGTCAGAATTTTCCATACTGGATATGCGACCTCAATTTTCAGGCTCCCGCAGACTGAAGCCACGCTGCGCTCGGATCCGCTTTCTCACGCTCAACTTCTCTTCTATGCTGTCATTGGTTGTTGCTTTTCCAGGACCCGCCCACAACTACCTCAATTGTGATTGGATGCCAACGTCCTTTTGTTATGGCAAAAGGTGGATCCCGGAGCTTGGAGAGAAGATGATTGGGGCGCGGGGCAGCTAATGCGCAGGCGTACCTTCTTGAGTGGGGATTGGCGGGACGGGGCGGGACTCCCGGCTCGGCGCAGGCTCTGTGGGTGGAGAGGGAGGAGCTGCCCATGCCAGTTTCTCCAAGTGTCCCGGCCTGAAGCATCCTCCAGGTGCCTGCCCCTCCCGGAGCCTCAAACAGCAGGTGAGGGCAGTCGCGGGCAGCAGAGGGCCTGGCCCTGGTGACTGGAGTGCGGCCTCGGTTCCACCAAGGGCCCAGAGGGCGGGGCGGGCTGGACTTGGCCCGGCGCACCGGGAGCCCGGGAGGATCGGCCACGGGCCTGGGCGTCTGGTGGGCAGCTGAGACCTGGCTCCCAGTAGAACTCCTGCGCAGCCTCTTTTTCTTCGTATTATTGGGCCCAGGGATTCCTTTAGGGGCGGGCGCCCGTGTTCCCTGACACATCCTGCGCCTTCTCCCCGCCATTCCTGAGTCAAAGGCCGCTGTCCAGCATCCCCGCCCTGAAATGGGGTGCGCGAGCGGCGTTTGGGTGCGAGGGGACCTGGCACATCTGGACTTGGCCATGGCTGCTGCTGTGGGGAGAAGAGGCCGAGGCGGGGTGGGGGCAAGTGAGCGGTACGGTGAGGGCTGGCGACGTCTTTCCAGGCGTTGAAAGCAGCTCCCGGGTTAGTTTCTTCATGGGCTTCTCTCAAGGGTCCTTCTGAACAAGTTTTTTTAGGGGGAGGTGGAGGGGTTATGATTGGTACCGAGAAAGGATACATTCTTGAAAGGCAGGGCTTTTGTTGTACAATGTATCGATTCCACTAGTATGACGTAACGATGTTAAAAGGACACGCTATGCCTTGGTCCCAACACTGTATCTGCACCTGAGGATCCACAGCTCTGTGTTCAGTGCCTGTACTCATTAAGTTCAATATAGATACACGTTTTCTGGGCATCTAGCTCCCATTGAGATCCTCGTTTGGCCAGACAGATCCTTAATTTGTGGACTTATGTAACCAGAACAAGTCAGAACTTGAACGGACCTGAACAAACCATGTTGACAGTGCAGCTTGAAGGAAATGAAATTTATCTACAGTTGCTTAGGTAGTAGTAATAGCAAAGGAATTTAGCATCAAGAGTTCCAAAATGTTTGATAAAGTTAGATTAGGACCATATTAAAGTTTCTTCCATTGCATAATGGAAAACGGGGCTTTATAGTTAGACCTAGGTTCAAATAATTGGTACAGACATTGGCTCAGAAATCTAAGGCAAGATACATAACTTTTCTGAGACAGTGTCCACATCTGTAAATTACAGTGTCCTTTTGTTGATTTGATGAATAATATGTGAAACATTTAGTATATTGATGCACAATGCCATTATTTTAGTAGTTTTTCTATAACTGCTAGCATTGATTATTATCACACACACACACTAATTCTCTAGAGGAGGAAGGGATCAGGGAGGAGAGAGAGAGAGAGAGAGAGAGAGATTGATTGGTTGCCTCCTGTACAAGCCCTGATGGGATTGAACCCAAAACCTCAGTATGTGCCCTGACTGGGAATCGAACCCTCGACCCTTCAGTGCATGGAACACTTTAACCACAGAGCCACACCAGCCAGGGCTGATCATTATCTTTTAAAATAACTTAATAAATGTACAGTTGTATTTTATTATGTATTTCTTTGATAACCAAAAAACTCTTGTTTACTTCTCTTTGTAAACACTTTGTACATACCCTTTGCTTACTTACCCATTAGGTGTCGGTTCTTGGAAACAGTAAAGCATGTGAAAGAGTCCTTACTGGGTCACATTATTTTAAAAAACAAGCTTATATTTTATTTCTCTATGTGTCTATGTTTCTTTTTCTCATTGCAGACCAGTTACCAAGGATTTTGTATCCAAGGTCCAAAAGTTTATTACCCAAGATGATGAATGCTGACATGGATGGTATATTCTTTATTTTCTTTTTGTATGTTCCTGTTTTTGTGGATGCTTTTGCTTTATTAAGCAATGAACAGAAAAAATATTTAGAGTTTCTGATTTGACTAATTTACTTATTTATATCCCTTCTAGTTCTGGAAAGAATTTAAGGCAGTTTTTGTTGTTTAATTGAAATGTTGGCAAGACACTTTATCTTTACCTTGGTGTCCTTATCTGCAATGTGGGGAAAGAACTTTTTACTTGACAGGCCTCTCGTATAAGTCAAGTTAGACAATAAATATGAAACGTTTTGCAGATCTTTAAGTGCTACACTACACAAAATTGTACATAATGTTAATAGTAAATTTAAACCTTTTTATTACAGCAGTTGATGCTGAAAATCAGGTGGAACTAGAGGAAAAAACACGACTTATTAATCAAGTGTTGGAACTCCAACACACACTTGAAGGTTAGTTTGCATTTTGTAGTTTTCTTGAATAACATCAATTAATTGAAATTGTAAGCCTTTGTGTTGCTAAATTTTGTTAGTGTGCACAGTTTTAAAAAGTATAAATTTCAAGACCATTTCAATAGTTTCCTACCCCCCTCCTGCCTGTAGCTTTGGCTGGTGATTTTAAAGAATAGATATGCTTCAGTAAGGAAGTCATATAGTGTCCTTAAGCTTCCCTCTTTAAGGTCTAACAGAATCCTACTTAGTACATGAGAGCTCCTTTTAATAAAGCCTCTACACTGTGTTACTAAGTCCACTTGTATTAAAAGCAGGATATTAACTTCAGAGATTAAAGGGGAATTGATCTGAGTTTTTTCATTTTCTAAATGCCTTGCATAAAATTACTAATACAGAAACATCTTTTGATTTTTAATGCAAATAAGAGGTTGAGGGGCTTTTGTTTTTGTTTTATTTGTTTATTTATTCATTTATTTATTTATTTTTTGGTATGTGCCTCTAGCGGGAACCAAACCCAGGACTCTCTGTTCTGCAGGCCGATGCTCCAACCGCTGAGCCAAACTGGCCAGGACATGGGGTTTTTGTTTTTAAACACCAGAATGAGTAGATCATGTTAATAAAAGCCATGTGATTCTCTGGAAGTCTGTTACTTCCCTTTTACCTTTCAGAGCCATGTCATTCACAAGGCCTCATACATTCACATTCTATCTCAGACACTCCGCCCCCACTCCACCCCTGCTGTTTTTCAGTATGCTTCTACTCAGGGTCTTAGCAGTCGCTGTTCCCCTCTGCTTTTGCTGTTATTTAGGCTCATTACCCCACTTTAGGTTTCCGGTCAAATTTCCTAGATCAAAATGGCTGTCCCTGACTATACTGTACAAAAGGGCAACTTCCTTTTTGCTTTCTATGACCTTTACCCTTCTTGTTTTTTCTTCTGATCCCCACATGGAGCATCCTAAATGCAGGTTAGAAATGTAAGCTCTGTGAGGGCAGGGACCTTTCTTTTTTGTTACTGTTGCCTCTAGAACAGTGATTGCCTGGCTCTAGAGGGCACCCAATACTTAACTGAGAAATGAATGAATGGAGGTGGTTTTATTTGATCATCAAGAACTGCATCTTTTGAATTTCTTGCTAATGTAAAAATACAAAGTGTTCAATTGCTTGGAAACTGGCTTTCTATATCCAGTATATGAATTCAGTTGTGTCCACCTGCCCCATTTTCTTAAACATTTCTAGTTGAAGACATTATGGTTTTGTATTGGTAAGACATGAACCAAATTCACATTTTAAAAACAAAGCCCATATTTAAAAAAAAAAAAAAAAACATTTTAAGAATTAGTCAACATAAATGCTTTTTACAAAGAGTAACATTTAGTCTACTATGAAATATCATTTTAGGAATTTTGGCTATTTGTACTGTTTACTTTGTATACCTTAGCTTATAAAATAATCTGAATTTAAAAATAGAAAATGTAAGGATTGTGTTATCTTAAGAATGAATCTTAAGCATTTTATAATGTGGAATCACTGCCATCATGTTACTGATAATGGACTTTTTTATTTTTAATATAGATCTCTCTGCAAGAGTAGATGCAGTAAAAGAAGAAAATCTGAAGCTAAAATCAGAAAACCAAGTTCTTGGACAATATATAGAAAACCTCATGTCAGCTTCCAGTGTTTTTCAAACAACTGACACAAAAAGCAAAAGAAAGTAAGGATTGATATCCTGTCTTACGGAATTGCTGCTGCTTTTTTTTTTTTTTTTTCCTTTAAAACTTGGATAGATTCCAGAAGTTATAGTACTTTTGTTTGTGGCTTCATTGAATATTTATGAAGATAATGTCAGATCTAGGCAAAATTAAGAGCATAACAGAGACTTCCATGAGTTTGTGTATTGTTAGCCTATGAAAACGTGAAAATGTATTGTAGAGACTTTATAATTAGAAATGCATATATTTATGAAACTTGATAATGTTTTATCAAATTTGCTTTGATTTATAGGTTTAGTACTGTCTTTTATTATATAGGAGATACAATAACCACCATGTTGTGAAAAAGTGACCAAAATCATGTACTGAATGCACAGCTTTATGTACCCTGTCTACCATCTTGTGCCTCTTCTCCATTTGCTCCTTCCTTATTTCCCTTCCCTGAAGGAAAACTTGGTTTCATGTTTGTAAGAGCAATTTTAGTAGTTATTCATGTATGAGAGTAACCTGAACTCTATTGGTGAAACTTAACCAGAAGTTAGGGCTTGTTATACAGCCATGTGCCCACATAATGATGTTTCAGTCAGTGACAGACTGAAGATATGACAGGTGGTATGCCGTTCAGCCTAGGTGTGTAGTGGGCTGTACCATCAAGGTTTGTGTAAGTGCACTCTGTGATGTTTGCACGATAAAATTCCCTAATGATGCTTTTCTCAGAATGTATCCCTGTCATTAAGCAGTGCATGACTATTTACTACTGGGATTTAGACAGGATTGTTGGTTTCTCTTTAATCAATTGAAAACAGAGACTATAAAAATGAAGACTTTTCCCCCCTTGAAGCTGAATTGTCAAATTGGGAAAACATGTTGTTGAATACTTCCTTTTACACAAAATAACTTGGTATCTGAAAAGATGAGTTCTAGCTGTGTGTATGTTCAAAATAGAAAATTTTGAGGAAGAATAGAAACAGGATGGGAAAAGTACTTGGTAAATAGTAGTAACCAACTCCACATGTTTTTGCTCCAGACTTGTACTATCTCTGGCACAGATTAAATCTGTTGGGGAATGTATATGAAAGTGGATTAAGTTTAACTAACCTTATGTGAACCACATCTAGAATAGCTACAAAGCGTTTGGTCTCAAAATATATTTATAGTATCCAGCAGATCAATTTTTGCAAAATCCTCTGAGTGTATTAGTATCAGAATCATGAATAAAATGGGAGAGTTTTACATGTATACTAATTGTTAATGTTCTCAGTATTTTATCTCACTACTTCTCACAGAGTTTTCTGTAAGTCCAACTAGTTGGTATGCAGAGTTTGTTATTTAACAATTTTTAAAATTTAGTTTGTAGATTCCATTTGCTAAGGAAATTAATATCAGATGTAATGTTAAAATGTTAAATAGGAAGAGATTCATTAATATAGATTAGAGTTATTAGATTTGGACTACTTTTAATCATGGAATAATCTTATGTTTGTAGTGGTATATGATTCGATGAATGACTTTAGCTGTATGAATATATAATCATACTGCAAAACATTTTGCATCCCTTTTGTGACCTAATTTACAAACGTTTGGAATTGTGTTGTAATTTTCCTTTGCTGTTTAATAAAAAGCTGTTTCAGAGATTGTGTGTGTTTCGATATAGTTGCCTAAGTAACTGGGTGGCGTAGTGGTATATCCAGGGTTGTTCAAAGCCACAGGTTAAATAGCATATCATCCCTGAGTACCAGTTACTGGATGTTGAGGGGAATAATTTTATTAAGAAAATGTTATAGGGTATTATACATTAATTGTAAAAATAAAAGCAAGGAACTCAAGGATCCAAGATTTCCAGGGGAAAGGTGGTTGTATTTTTTAGGTTAGGCTAATCTCCCATTACATGGAATGTGATAGAGTGATAAATAATATAAAATTATATAGAAAATTCTCTCCCAGCTAATGGTTCTGAGGTGAGTGCTGCAAGCTTGCAGAAACTGGAAGAGAGAGACTCTGGCACTCCTAACCATGACTTCCAAGTCACACTGTCACCATTCTATTGTGCAGAAGAAGTACATGGGCACAGATGCAGTTTCAGAAAGGCTACCAATTCAGATCTACTAACGTGTCTTCCTAGAGACATAATCAATGGAAGCAAGGCTATCTTTTTTAAAAATTCAAGAAAAAGGAAGATACTTTAGCCTGGTTTTAAGTTTAAAAGTCTTAAAAGGTCAAAATAAAAGCAAAATACGATTTTCTCCTTTGTTAGAGAAAATAACATAATGTAAGTGACTTAAAAGTCAGATTAGGGTGGAAAAAGGAAAAAAAAAACATCTTGTGACTGAGGAAGACTATGTCTGTCTGCTGCACGGGTCTAGTACACATATTTATAGGAGTTTAAGTTTTAGTTAAACCTGTCAGCACGGTACGTCCCCAGATGGCACATCCACATAAGTAGCAGTGTGTTGCCAAAACTGGTTGCTCAGATTTTACTACTGCAAGCTCTTGGAGTTTAACCAAATGTTAAAGTTAAAACAAATCTCCAACTAAGGAAGTAAAAAGAGCTTTAATAAATGTTTAGAAAAAATTGTTTACATACAAGATACCTGTCAGACAAGAAGGTTTCCATCATAAAGGATTTATCTCCTGAAGTAGTTTACTGCCAGAAACATTCTCATCTAGAATGATTCAGTATGTCTAGTTCATTTGGACATTCCAAATACAAAGCAAGAAAGGGGGTCCTTGCAAGATGTGTTCAGTGAGTAGTAAATAAATACAAAGTATGGTTAAGTATGTATAAAGATCGCCACCACCAATTTATGCACGTTCAGAACACAGCAATGGAATAAAGAACTTGTTTGCATTTTCAGTTCACTCTCTGAAATAAGTAGCCTACGTCTGGCTTCCTTTAGTGAAAGAAGCTGGAGACTCGTTTTCTTTATACACACTCTAAATGTACTATTGGGGAGGGGTTGTATGGGAACTTAATTGGTGCTCACCCAAAAATGGGGTGTGTATTTCCATGAAGGAATCCAAAATGGTACCCAACTAGTATAAAGTTCTCTATATAGTATTACAGTAATTTTATGGTCTCAGAGATTTAGATCACCTTCTGAAGGATGTAATCCAAATATAAAAACTTCTTAAAATATTTCCAGTGGAACAGCACAGCTCCATTTTAATATTGTTGTGACTTTTGGTAACTACTGTAGTTTAAAAAGGGGAGCATTAGTAATAGTTGCTGCTATCAACCTTAGAGGCAGCTTTGAAGCTAGATAAGATAATAGATTTAAAGTAAATTTGAATTTGAGGGGAAAAAAGCAAGACAAAAGTATAAAGTATATCTATAAACCATTAGAATTTCTTAATGATCAGAAAAATAATTTAAAGCCTCCTAATTATAACTTACCTATTAAAGAGGATATATATTAAAGAAGAATATATTTAAATTATATTTTCAAGAGCAGTGTACACATAAGCAGTACTAGGGCAAACCATTCTGGCATAAAACTATAAAACATTGAAAAAATGTTTTGATGAACTATTATCTTTGTATTCAAATGTAAAATGTGCTGCATCACTACGGACCAGTGATCCTGTGAATGACACTTAGACACTTCTGTTTTGTTGACCTGTACACCAACAAAGAACCTCTTAAAGGAATCTGTTATTTAAGTGAATGGACCTTAACTATAATTTGACACAAACTAGGTAAATGGGTCACACACAACACTTTCAATTGCTGACAGAATTAAGCAACTATACAGAATCTTTATTGCATTTAGCTCTGTACAACAGAACACTCTCTCATTGCTGTAGAACTACCAGTTATATTGTAGTATAGCCGTTTAAGGGAAAATTCCAATAACTGATTATTCCAATAGCATGGAAACTGCTGCATATTATTTTGCTCTGTACAAACCAAAACTTTCTCCAAACTATTAAAACTGTGTAACTTCTAAGGATATTAATCTCTTAAATCTGATATGTAACGTGCCACATTTCTTTTATTCTGAATTCAAAGGGCAGGTAACTTCAAAGTCTTTCCCCTGAATAGACTACAGTGGATGTCTGAAATTAGGAGTAACATTCCTAGGTATCAGAAGCAGGCTGTGCAGACTGAATCGAGCTCGGTGCCCGCACGCCGACTTAGAATGCACATTTCTCCGAGGAACGAGGGCGGATCGGCTACTCCTTCCGTGCTCTTCTTTTGCGTACGGACTTGGCCGGCCCATCTCCAGATCCTGTGCTCTCATCCGCTTCCTTCATCTAGGAAAACAAAAGAGGAAAATGTTCATTTTCATACATTGTATAAACTAGTACTTAGTAGTAAATAATATATTTCTTATTCTCTGAAATACATGTTCTAACAATCAAATGCTATCTTATAATGTTCCTGTACTTCAGGCAGTTGATCAAGTGGTATGTATATAAATTGATGTTTTAATTTGTTCACCTTTTGGCATGATTACATTTCTAGAATAACTCAGCTTATCAAATATGCATCTGACAAAGAATACTGCTAACAACTCAATCGCGGTTTTATTTTATGATTCAGAACTTAATTTCAGTGTCATAATTAAAGGTTACATGACATTCATTTTCATTGCCGGATTTTAAGCATTAACTATTCATCACAGTATTTTTGTAAGTAATGAATTGTTGAGGTGGTTTTTCAGAGGCTTTTTCAGAATTTCTGGCATATGGTACTTTGAGAAAAATTTAGAGAGCAAAGGGAAACATCAAATTTATGGTTTGGGTTTTTCCTTTCCTTTAATTCTTATCCTTTTGGGTAAGCATTTATACATAAAGTAAACTTATGCAACAATATAAAATAATGGAGTTATTATATTTTACACAAAAGAGTTATAATTATTTCTCAAGGTTATACTATACAATCGGTTTATTTTAGCTAACAAATGTAAGAAGACTAAATACTGGAAGATCGAATTAAGATATTTTTAAATGTACACAAAATATTTTGTGAAGCAAAATGTATCTAGACGATATATTCAAGTGAATGACTGCAAGTATGATTATTTAAAGAATGACAGCTGAAACAATGTTTAAAACTGCATCCTAGAAGAAATTCTCCTCACCCAGCTCCCTCTAAATACGGCTCTTCATTCTAGATAATGATCCCCCAAACTCCCTTAAACCTCAAAGGGCAGTGAAGACCAGTAATCAGGTATATGTACTGAATAAACTTTAGAAAACAAGCAAAAACAATCAAGTTTATTTGGGAGATTTCTTCAAATGGATAAAACAGAAAGTTTATTTCAACATATGCGACAGAACTGTACCCTCGCCCTATTTAACACGCACTCGGCAATAAGAGTGGTGACACAGGCTGGAGAAGCAGAGCAAACAGGCTTTTGGTACGTGCTGGAGAGAAAAAAGGAAGCCCCGGTTCTGAATTATACTCTGGATGGTTTCTGACTCCATAATAGCCGACTAAAACAAGGCACCGCGCAAAGTTCCACGTCAGGATATAAGAAGGGGTAGACCTATCAAGTTAATGGGAAAACTAGTTTTACTAAAGATTTGAGAAAAAATACCGGGTCACCCTGGCTGTCCTGGCTCAGTGGCTGAGCGTCGACCCCTGCACCAAGAGGTCACCGGTTCGATTCCTGCTCAGGGCACATGCACAGGTTGTGGGCCAAGTCCCCAGTGGGGGGCATGGGAGGCGGCCAATCGATGTTCTCTCTCATCGATGTTTCTATCTCTCTCCCCCTCTCCCTTTCTCTCTCAAATCAATAAACAAACAAACAAACAAAAATCACCAGGTCAGGCAGATAGTACTCAACTACCTAATGAGTGAAATATTTCCAAATGTGGAATGTAAATTACTGAGTCAGTGAGAATGTTTATACAATGACTGTTTTTGTAATGAACACAATTACCTTTCAAATATTCAAATGGTCTATTTATTATAACTTTCAACAGAATACTTTAAAGTCATAATTTTTTTCCTTTAATCCTCACCCAAGGATAATATTTATCCTCAAATAGAATGAAAGTGAGAGGTGGGGGGGGAGAGAAACATTGACATGAGAGAGACACATGAATTGGTTGCCTCCCACACTACCCCAACCAGGGCTGAGGACTGAAAAGTAACTGAGGTACGTGCCCTTGACTGAAATCAAACCTGCGACTCTTGGTCCACGGGCTGATGTTCTAACGGCTGAGCCAAACCTGCCAGGGCTAAAGTCATAATTTTTTATAGGTGCAGCTCTGTCTTTATATTTTGTAAACCACAGGCTTATTTTATACTATTTCATTAGGTATTAACATAATATAAATTATTGTATTTTCTAGCCTCCTTTTGCACACATTTAAAAAACCATATGGAGGCTCTTATGAAAGCTGAAAGAAATATGGCAAAAAAATCCTCCACAAACCAGATTGCTCCTTTTATTGAAACAATTTTTTGGCTAATGATCATACGTAGAAACTGGTTTATTTTCTGAGTTAGCTGCTCACCTCATCCTCTGATCCAGACTTATTTGATTTATTTCCTTCTTCTCGTCCTTCTATGATTTCAATTTCTTCCTCGCTCTTTTCCTCAGGTTCACCTTCTTCTTCTGGAATACAGGTTTTATTAAAGGCAAAGACCTGATGAATAGGATTTTGCTACTAAAAAGTAT